GGCTAAACAGCCTCTGAATGGCTACCTTCTCTGAAGCCGTGTTGTTGTATACTTATAAACCTAATTCTTTCTGGATGTGCAACTAGTCTTGGCCTTATCCTTATTTCAAGTATTTTGCAAGGGATGTGTGTGTGTGTGTGTGTGTGTGTGTGTGTGTGTGTGTGTGTGTGTGTGTGTGTGTGTGTGGTGTGTGTGTGTGTGTATGTGTGTGTGTGTGTGTGTGTGTGTGTGTGTGTGTGTGTGTGTGTGTGTGGTGTGTGTGTGTGTGTGTGTGTGTGTGTGTGTGTGTGTGTGTGTGTGTGTGTGTGAGTAATTATCTGAGTAGAGTAATTATCTGAGTAATTACCTAAGTGTAGTCAGTTACAGCGCAGAGAGAGAGAGAGAGAGAGAGAGAGAGGAGAGAGAGAGAGAGAGAGAGAGAGAGAGAGAGAGAGAGAGAGAGAGAGAGAGAGAGAGAGAGAGAGAGAGAGAGAGAGTGGTAATTACACGAATGACAGGATAAAAAACTAATCCATTCGATGAGGACGGGAAGGAGAATTTACAAAGAAACAGATTACACGACGTGAGAGATGTGAGAAGAGAGGGGAAGAGAAAGTGAAGGAAGACAGGAGGAGAAGAAAAGGTGGCCACTCTCCCCAGGGAGTGACCACTGGTGACCCCCCCTCTCCAGGGGGGGGGGGCAGCCGGTAACTGCCTAAACAGGGCAGTTGGCCGTCCATCCCTTGAGGTTACCTTGAGGTGCTTCCGGGGCTTAGCGTCCCCGCGGCCCGGTCGTCGACCAGGCCTCAACCAATATTCCAGGAAGACGGTGAAAGGAAAGCATATTACCTCCACTACGCATTCCAGGAACCACTGGAAACACAACACTAAGTCTGGAACTAAATAGGTGCCATGGTTCCAGGAACCTCAAGAACCACACACTCATACGAGTGACCGCAGCAAGGGTGGACGAGGCTCAAGGAGGCAGCTAGCCCGTCCTCCTAAGGTTCCCAACGTCAAGAAACTGTCGTACTAAAGTGCCCTTATCCTAACCTACCAGAGGACCCAAAACAGAAAACGGTGGGATATGCGTCAAAATGCGACGCTATATATAGAATTTATATATACATATATATATATATATATATATATATATATATATATATATATATATATATATATATATATATATATATATATATTACTATTATTATATATTAAAATTTTATGTATAATTTATCGCAGGCTATCTTAGGTTGGGTGTTTATGTGCTGGTGACAATTACTTGTATTTTAAGTACGTGACTGAAGCCTTTACAAATGTGCAATTCGAACACATGAAGAGAGGGAAGTAATGTTCGAGAAACATTCGAACGTCATCAGTTATGAGACTTGTGTTAAAAGAGTTTTTCCATTCATAAACAGAGGGGGTTTGGTGGGTAGATTAACGAGTAATTGGTCAACGTTGATGAGGCCGCAGCAGCCCGTCTTCATCAACAGAGGTCATTAAACTGCTCGGTAATCCAGGCACTCAAACCACCTGCTTGTGAATGAAAATCTCTTAACACAAGTCTCACAACTGATGACTTGCGAACATTTCTAGACGTGCTCTTCTATAGCGTCCTCCTAGAGTCCTAGAGTGGCGCCTCTACCACTCTACTAGAAATACACATCACTACCAATAGAAACTCAACACCAAACCCCACGCCTAATTTGATATAAAACTCAAATATACAGTAATATAAATATATATTTATGGAAAAAAATGATTCTGATTAATCATTTACAATTGATGAACGCGTCTATGGGGGGTCGACTGCCGGTTTGAACAAGCCTAGCCTGAGGACAGGATGAAATACAAGTAATAACCTAGAAGAGAACCTTAAACACCTACGCGAACCTATGCCGAAATATGCACGATGACAAAATGACAGTTCAAATTCTTTAAATGCGTCTTTGGGGTCGGCCGCTGGATGGAATGAACATTGGCTGAGGACAGGCTGTTGTTAATACAGTCGCTGTTACAATACAGCGTACAGCCTATTATCTGCAACCAGCAACAACGGTTTCAAAATCCATCGCGAGTGACAGTATGCAAAACAGATACAGAACTGTGATACATAACTGGGTAATACAGTTACCGAAAGGCACTTTCAGCGATACAGTCGCCGTGTGCCGCTACAGCAATACAGCCCGACCTTTGTGAGGTTATCTTGAGATGATTTCGGGGCTTTTTTTTAGTGTCCCCGCGGCCCGGTCCCCGACCAGGCCTCGACCCGCAGGAAGCAGCCCGTGACAGCTGACTAACACCCAGGTACCTATTTTACTTCTAGGTAACAGGGGCATAGGGTGAAAGAAACTCTGCACATTGTTTCTCGCCGGCGCCTGGGATCGAACCCGGGACCACAGGATCACAAGTCCAGCGTGCTGCCCGCTCGGCCGATCGGCTCCTAAACTTGACTGAACCCTTGAAAAATGACCCAGAAACACACACTCACATACACACTACAGTTGAGGACAAAGCGCCATTTACGTCCTTAAAATGTATCAATATTTGGCGGACTAAGACTCCATCCCCGTGTAATGTTCACGTGCTTCATCCAGGGAGAGGGGAAGACGAGCAACAACGACCGTGCTGGAGCCTCAGGTGGGACAGTAGTAGACAAAGATGCAAGGGTTCAACACTCGGTCGACCTCAACCACAGGACAAAGTCAGGGATTATAGACACTGGCTGACCAACTGTCCAACTCATTCTGGCTAATAGAGAGGGGGGGGGGGGCAACTGTCCAAATGGTTTTGTCCGCTTAACTCATCAATTTACTTAAAAGTGTTTTAGTATGTAAATAACTGGAGCATTTGGAAAGTCCTCATTAGTGCCTATAACTGGTAAATTATTTGTGAATTACTCATCAACTCATTCGACAACTTACAAATTATTTTTCCGATCACTCAACAAATCGCTAATAACAGTACTCATCATTTCAATGATCAGCATTTAAATTACACAAAAATCACAAATTAGCTTGAATGTTACTTAATATTTTATTCAGTAATCGGGATTTGTTTAATGGCTTATTACACAACTTGGGTACAGCTTATCAATGCACTCTAACATGAAACTAAATCTTCCACTCATTACTTTAAATTAGTTTCCAACAAATAACTCCTCTTATTCAGGACTCGCTTCTAATCTCTCAGTGACTGTTGCTCATCCTTGAACGCAAGAAGGTATCTGTTGCTCATCCTCAAACAAGTTACCTGTCTATTACATGTCCCACAGTAAAATAATGTAACTTGTGTTACTAACCCAACAGCAACAAAATATGCCTCAACAGATTATGCAACAATAAACACAACGTGAACCGGTGCATTAGTCATCCGAGCACTATAAGAACTCAAGCATTATTTCCCACCGTTGAAAGTATTAACGAACTGAGTAACTAAAGTATTAATCACTCAGTAATTATCAGAGCTCCTCAACTCTGGCCCTTGCGCTCATATGGGAAGCACAAAACGTTCACAAGACAGTTGTGGCCTCTATTACGGGGATGAGGAAGGGCTACAGTTGCCTGAGACAGGTGGGAACAGGTGACCCGCCCTCCGCAGCCTCGGGTACACAGTGAGGGTGGAGGATCAACCCTTGCAATCGGCATCGTTGCCCTCCGGAGCTGCCGGTGTGAGGCGCCTGGAGGTGTGTGATGACTTTATCCACTCCTGTGTTATGGAGGATATCCTCGCCATCCCTCCAGGAGGGGAATTTAATGTCGCACATATATATACCGCTTATCGCATATATATATATATATATATATATATATATATATATATATATATATGTCGTACCTAGTAGCCAGAACGCACTTCTATGCCTACTATTCAAGGCCCGATTTGCCTAATAAGCCAAGTTTTCATGAATTAATTGTTTTTCGACTACTAACCTACCTAACCTAACCTAACGTTTTCGGCTACCTAACCTAACCTAACCGATAAAGATAGGTTAGGTTAGGTTAGGTAGGGTTGGTTAGGTTCGGTCATATATCTACATTAATTTTAACTCCAATAAAAAAAAATTGACGTCATACGTAATGAAATGGGTAGCTTTATCATTTCATAAGAAAAAAATTAAGAGAAAATATACTAATTCATGAAAACTTGGCTTATTAGGCAAATCGGGCCTTGAATAGTAGGCATAGAAGTGCGTTCTGGCTACTAGGTACGACATATATATATATATATATATATATATATATATATATATATATATATATATATATATATATATATATATATATATATATATATACCGTATATACATATATATAATGTCAAAGAGCATCCGTGCACTAAAATATCCACTGGTACACTCAGTAATACCCATTGGTACACTCAGTAATACCCTCTGGTACACACAGTAATACCCTCTGGTACACCAACCCGTTCTCGCAAATTCGTAAAGTCAATATTGACTTATTAACTACGTGCATAGGTGATATACTAAACATAATAGATACCCTTAAAAAGATTCATAGAAAACACCGACCTTACCTAACCTTGTTAGTATCTTAAGATAAGCATCTTATTGCTTCGTAATTACAATTATTACTTAACCTATACCTATTATAGGTTAGGTAATAATTGTAATTACGAAGCAATAAGATGCTTATCTTTAGATACTAACAAGGTTAGGTAAGGTCGGTGTTTTCTATGAATCTTTTTAAGGGTATCTATTATGTTTAGTATATCACCTATGCACGTAGTTAATAAGTCAATATTGACTTATTAAATTTGCGAGAACGGGTTGGGTACACACAGTAATACCCACTGGTACACTCAGTAATACCCACTGGTACACTCAGTAATACCCTCTGGTACACACAGTAATACCCTCTGGTACACTCAGTAATACCCACTGGTACACTCAGTAATACCCTCTGGTACATACAGTAATACCCACTGGTACACAATAATACCCACTGGTACACTCAGTAATCTACAAGACAATAAGAGGTTGGGCCACTTACTTCTCTCTCAGCCTTGAGCTGCTCCCTGCGGCGCTGCATCTCGGAGCGGGCCCGCGAGTGTCGCATGAAGTTTCCCAAGACGCCAGCCATCTTGAGTGGTCAAGGGCGCCTCTTTACAAGCAAGATCAAGAAGTTTATCCTTGCCGCCCTCCCACACACTCACACACACCAACACCAGTCCTTCGAGTTCCACCTCCGGCCGCACTCGTCCTCGCTGACTGACACTAGAGGAGCACCTCTCGTTAAGTGACGCTACTGCGCCTTGTGGGGTGACACCCCTGAAGGCGTTCTATTGTAGGGTGACACCAGTCGCAACCTTTATTTCGGTTGGGTTACCTTCGTCGAAGCCGTTTCGTGTCGGGTGGTACGACTGATTGCTTCGAAACGTCGTTGTTTCTGTCTCACTTGCTTTAAATGTAAGGCTCTGATGGTTAGAGTGAAATGACTTAACACCCGTTGATATCTCTTCTTATTGGCCCGTACAGCTAAACACCCGCTAAACCTCTTTTGATTGGTTGGGAGGCGAACAACGCAGTGTTCCTGTTCCTTGTTGGCTTAAACATTTCTCCTACACACAATAATATTTTTTTCGATGTTTATTTCTTTGAAAAGAAAACTTTCTTCACTGTGGACGTCAGATATTCTTATTAAGTTTCTATTGTGCTTCTCTCTCTCTGGGTGACAGTGGGACGAGGCTAGAGACAGCCTCGGAGTGGTGGTGTTGGCTCCAGGGGTGATGGTGCTGATAGTGGTGGTGATGGTGGTGGTGCCGGCTCCAGCGATGGTGCTGGTGGTGGTGGTGCTAGTGGTGGTGGTGCTGGCGGTGGTAGTGGCGGCGGTGATGGTGGTGGTGGTGGTGTTGGGAGTATTGGTGACAGGGTATAAGGCGACTAATAACACAACTACCGAAGACGCTTGGCGGCACACATCTCAGAGAATGCCTCCGTTGTCACAGGCTCCTGTTCAACCCGCCACACTAGGCCGACAAGCAAAGACTTGTACTGATTCTTGTACTGCTAATGGTCGTATCACGGGTCATTCGCTTATATCTACAGGTTATTAGGCACTTTGTATTGCTAAATTACTGATACTGGTGAGGTGGTGTTGGCGAGGCCAGGGGGTGTGTGAGGTGGTGTTGGCGAGGCCAGGGGGTGTGTGAGGTGGTGTTGGCGAGGCCAGGGGGTGTGTGAGGTGGTGTTGGCGGGGGCCAGGGGTTGTGGGTGTGAGGTGGTGAGTTGGCGAGGCCAGGGGGTGTGTGAGGTGGTGTTGGCGAGGCCAGGGGGTGTGTGAGGTGGTGTTGGCGAGGCCAGGGGGTGTGTGAGGTGGTGTTGGCGAGGCCAGGGGGTGTGTGAGGTGGTGTTGGCGAGGCCAGGGGGTGTGTGAGGTGGTGTTGGCGAGGCCAGGGGGTGTGTGAGGTGGTGTTGGCGAGGCCAGGGGGTGTGTGAGGTGGTGTTGGCGAGGCCAGGGGGTGTGTGAGGTGGTGTTGGCGAGGCCAGGGGGTGTGTGAGGTGGTGTTGGCGAGGCCAGGGGGTGTGTGAGGTGGTGTTGGCGAGGCCAGGGGGTGTGTGAGGTGGTGTTGGCGAGGCCAGGGGGTGTGTGAGGTGGTGTTGGCGAGGCCAGGGGGTGTGTGAGGTGGTGTTGGCGAGGCCAGGGGTGTGTGAGGTGGTGTTGGCGAGGCCAGGGGGTGTGTGAGGTGGTGTTGGCGAGGCCAGGGGGTGTGTGAGGTGGTGTTGGCGAGGCCAGGGGGTGTGTGAGGTGGTGTTGGCGAGGCCAGGGGGTGTGTGAGGTGGTGTTGGCGAGGCCAGGGGGTGTGTGAGGTGGTGTTGGCGAGGCCAGGGGGTGTGTGAGGTGGTGTTGGCGAGGCCAGGGGGTGTGTGAGGTGGTGTTGGCGAGGCCAGGGGGTGTGTGAGGTGGTGTTGGCGAGGCCAGGGGGTGTGTGAGGTGGTGTTGGCGAGGCCAGGGGGTGTGTGAGGTGGTGTTGGCGAGGCCAGGGGGTGTGTGAGGTGGTGTTGGCGAGGCCAGGGGGTGTGTGAGGTGGTGTTGGCGAGGCCAGGGGGTGTGTGAGGTGGTGTTGGCGAGGCCAGGGGGTGTGTGAGGTGGTGTTGGCGAGGCCAGGGGGTGTGTGAGGTGGTGTTGGCGAGGCCAGGGGGTGTGTGAGGTGGTGTTGGCGAGGCCAGGGGGTGTGTGAGGTGGTGTTGGCGAGGCCAGGGGGTGTGTGAGGTGGTGTTGGCGAGGCCAGGGGGTGTGTGAGGTGGTGTTGGCGAGGCCAGGGGGTGTGTGAGGTGGTGTTGGCGAGGCCAGGGGGTGTGTGAGGTGGTGTTGGCGAGGCCAGTGGGTGGTGTGAGGTGGTGTTGGTTGGCGAGGCCAGGGGGTGTGTGAGGTGGTGTTGGCGAGGCCAGGGGGTGTGTGAGGTGGTGTTGGCGAGGCCAGGGGGTGTGTGAGGTGGTGTTGGCGAGGCCAGGGGGTGTGTGAGGTGGTGTTGGCGAGGCCAGGGGGTGTGTGAGGTGGTGTTGGCGAGGCCAGGGGGTGTGTGAGGTGGTGTTGGCGAGGCCAGGGGGTGTGTGAGGTGGTGTTGGCGAGGCCAGGGGTGTGTGAGGTGGTGTTGGCGAGGCCAGGGGGTGTGTGAGGTGGTGTTGGCGAGGCCAGGGGGTGTGTGAGGTGGTGTTGGCGAGGCCAGGGGGTGTGTGAGGTGGTGCGCCCCCACCCCACAAGCTACCCCACCCCCCACCCCACAAGCTACCCCGCCCCCACCCCACAAGCTACCCCGCCCCCCATCCCACAAAACTACCCCGCCCCCACCCCACAAGCTACCCCGCCCCCCATCCCACAAACTACCCCGGCCCCACCCCACAAGCTACCCCGCCCCCACCCCACAAGCTACCCCACCCCCCACCCCACAAGCTACCCCGCCCCCACCCCACAAGCTACCCCGCCCCCCCCCATCCCCCCACAAACTACCCGCCCCCACCCCACAAGCTACCCCGCCCCCACCCCACAAGCTAACCCCGCCCCCCATCCCACAAACTACCCCGCCCCCACCCCACAAGCTACCCCGCCCCCCACCCCACAAGCTACCCCGCCCCCCACCCCACAAGCTACCCCGCCCCCACCCCCACAAGCTACCCGCCCCCACCCCACAAACTACCCCGCCCCCCATCCCACAAACTACCCCGCCCCCACCCCACAAGCTACCCCACCCCCCACCCCACAAGCTACCCCGCCCCCCCCACCCCAAAAGCTACCCCGCCCCCACCCCACAAAACTACCCCGCCCCCCACAACCACAACCCCACACTGCCGGCATCCATAATCTTCACAGGAGTACACCGGGACACAATTTCCTCTCTAATTCCTGGATGCCGGAGTCGTGGTTCCTATCTCCCCAAGTCATTACCTGGTGCCTTCCCACACTTCTCTATCTCCACCACCTCTCGCTGTTATCCTCTTCCCCCTTCCTATACACCCCGTTTATCTTCGCCAAAGACTTTTTTTCCTTGTTTCTCTCATTCACGTTTTATTTTCCCCCTGTCGTTCTCTCCGGTCAGTTCTCACATTCTTCTGTGCCTGTCTTTCCGGGTTTTGTGACGCGTCCTTGAGGGGTAATGAAGCCATTACTATGCTTCTTACCGTCCACAGTCATCTGTCTTAACATGACCACGCAGCATCACACTCCAGAAAACATTGATCTTCGGCATCTTGTTACCTAGTTGTGCTTGCGGGGGTTGAGCTCTGGCTCTTTGGTCCCGCTTCTCAACCGTCAATCAACAGGTGTACAGGTTCCTGAGCCTACTGGCCTCTATCATATCTACACTTGAAACTGTGTATGGAGTCAGCCTCCACCACATCACTGCCTAATGCATTCCATTTGTCAACTACTCTGACACTAAAAAAGTTCTTTCTAATATCTCTATGGCTCATTTGGGCACTCAATTTCCACCTGTGTCCCCTAGTGCGTGTGCCCCTTGTGTTAAATTAACTGTCTTTATCTACCCTATCAATTCCTTTGAGAATCTTGTATGTGGTGATCATGTCCCCTCTAACTCTTCTGTCTTCCAGCGACGTGAGGTTTAATTCCCGTAGTCTCTCCTCGTAGCTCATACCCCTCAGTTCGGGTACTAGTCTGGTGGCAAACCTTTGAACCTTTTCCAGTTTAGTCTTATGCTTGACTAGATATGGACTCCATGCTGGAGCTGCATACTCCAGGATTGGTCTGACATATGTGGTATACAAGGTTCTGAATGATTCCTTACACAAGTTTCTAAAGGCCGTTCTTATGTTGGCCAACCTGGCATATGCCGCTGATGTTATCCTCTTGATATGGGCTTCAGGGGACAGGTCTGGCGTGATATCAACCCCAGGTCTTTTTCTTCTCTCTGACTCTTTTTAGAATTTCATCTCCCAGTGTGTGTGTGTGTGTGTGTACTCACCTAATTGTACTCACCTAATTGTGCTTGCGGGGGTTGAGCTCTGGCTCTTTGGTCCCGCCTCTCAACCGTCAATCAACTGGTGTACAGATTCCTGAGCCTATTGGGCTCTATCATATCTACATTTGAAACTGTGAATGGAGTCAGCCTCCACCACATCACTTCCTAATGCATTCCATTTGCTAACTACTCTGACACTGAAAAAGTTCTTTCTAACGTCTCTGTGGCTCATTTGGGTACTCAGCTTCCACCTGTGTCCCCTTGTTCGCGTCCCACCAGTGTTGAAAAGTTCGTCCTTGTTTACCCGGTCGATTCCCCTGAGGATTTTGTAGGTTGTGATCATGTCCCCCCTTACTCTTCTGTCTTCCAGTGTCGTGAGGTGCATTTCCCGCAGCCTTTCCTCATAACTCATGCCTCTTAGTTCTGGGACTAGTCTAGTAGCATACCTTTGGACTTTTTCCAGCTTCGTCTTGTGCTTGACAAGGTACGGGCTCCATGCTGGGGCCGCATACTCCAGGATTGGTCTTACATATGTGGTGTACAAGATTCTGAATGATTCCTTACACAGGTTCCTGAACGCCGTTCTGATGTTAGCCAGCCTCGCATATGCCGCAGACGTTATTCTCTTTATGTGGGCTTCAGGAGACAGGTTTGGTGTGATATCAACTCCTAGATCTTTCTCTCTGTCTGTTTCATTAAGTACTTCATCTCCTATTCTGTATCCTGTGCCTGGCCTCCTGTTTCCACTGCCTAGTTTCATTACTTTGCATTTACTCGGGTTGAACTTCAACAGCCATTTGTTGGACCATTCACTCAGTCTATCCAGGTCATCTTGTAGCCTCCTACTATCATCCTCTGTTTCAATCCTCCTCATAATTTTTGCATCGTCGGCAAACATTGAGAGGAACGAATCTATACCCTCTGGGAGATCATTTACATATACCAGAAACAGTATAGGTCCAAGGACTGACCCCTGCGGGACTCCACTTGTGACGTCTCGCCAATCTGAGACCTCACCCCTCACACAGACTCGTTGTCTCCTGTTGCTTAGGTATTCCTCTATCCACCGGAGTACCTTCCCTCTCACTCCAGCCTGCATCTCCAACTTTCGCACTAGCCTCTTGTGTGGCACTGTATCAAAGGCTTTCTGACAATCCAAAAATATGCAGTCTGCCCACCCTTCTCTTTCTTGCCTTATTTTTGTTGCCTGGTCGTAGAATTCAAGTAACCCTGTGAGGCAGGACCTGCCATCCCTGAACCCATGTTGATGCTGTGTTACAAAGTTCCTTCGCTCCAGATGCTCCACTAGTTTTTTTCGCACAATCTTCTCCATCAGCTTGCATGGTATGCAGGTTAGGGACACT